GCGGGGGGGGGCAGGATTAAGCCCTGGGCAGGGTGGGTGGAGGGTGGGTGGGTGGAGGGATGGAGGGACGGACGAACAGATGGATGGCCAGATGGATGGATATGGGAGCCGGAGATGGTGGAGAGATGGATGGTTGGTTGGTTGTAAAAGGGGCTGGATGGAGATGGAGATGGAGATGACGGAGATGGAGATGACGGAGATGGAGATGACGGAGATGGAGATGACGGAGATGGAGATGACGGAGATGGAGATGACGGAGATGGAGATGACGGAGATGGATGGTTGTATAAGGAGATGGGTGGATGCAGATGGTGATGGATGGACAGCTGTCTACGGGGGTGGATGGTTGTTTAAGGGGCTGGAAAGATGGGTGTAGGGGAGCCCCACTGTTGGCCCTCTACCTGAGGTGGTTGTATAAGGAGATGGGTGGATGCAGATGGTGATGGATGGACAGCTGTCTACGGGGGTGGATGGTTGTTTAAGGGGCTGGAAAGATGGGTGTAGGGGAGCCCCACTGTTGGCCCTCTACCTGAGGGCCAGGAGAGTGGGGTCACTTCCCCCCACCCCCTATAAAACGCCCCAGAGATGCCCCAGGGGACCCAGCCAGAGCCTTTTACTTCTACGTCGAGCTTGTCCCCTTCCTCTTTCTTCCCATTTATCCTGGCCACTTTCTGGAGCTCCTTCAGGGCTTGGTGGGACTTCCCCACCATGACCAGCCAGCGAGCTGACTCTGTTAACCACCTGTGGAGGAGATGGGGACAGGATCCCAAGGATCGCCCCACCATCTGTCTGACCCTGCCACCAGTGATCTACCCCTCTGTCCCTCCAGCCGTCTCTCCGTGCTTCCACCCAGCCAGCCAGCCCTCCATCCGTCCAACCCTCCATCCATCCAGCCCTCCATCCGTCCATCCCTCCATCCATCCAGCCCCCCATCCATCCTTGCACCTTCTAGTCATCTGTCCACCCACCTTTGCACCCACCTTTCCTTCTACCCACCCATCCATGCAACCCTCCATGCATCCATCCATCCCACCATCCCTCCATCCATCCATACCACCATCTGTCCATCCATCCATCCCACCGTCCCTCCATCCATCCATCCATCCACACCTCCATCTGTCCATGCATCCGTCTCGCCATCTCTCCACACCTCCATCTGTCCATCCATCCATCCCACCGTCCCTCCATCCACACCTCCATCTGTCCATGCATCCATCTCACCATCCCTCCATCCATCCACACTTCCATCTGTCCATCCATCCATCCCACCGCCCCTCCGTCCATCCATCCACACCTCCATCTGTCCATCCCTGCATCCGTCCCTCCATCCACGACACCATTCCTCCCCTTTCTCCTCCTCACCATGAGTAGAGGAAGAAGCAGAAGAAGGGCAGCGACAGGGTGAGCTGCAGCCAACGCCAATCAGGGATGGCGTAGGCGATCCCAGCCAGCAGGAACTGCCCGATGGTGTAGCAGTAACCCATGAAGGTCCCCACGAGCGCCCGGGTGCGAGTGGGCATCCACTCCAAAGCTGCCGAGATACGCAGAGACGTGGAGCAGACCGGGAAGGGTGCCCGGAGCCGGTACCGTGGGGCTGGTGGGGGCCACGTACAGAGGGAGACGCTGTTGAGGATGATGCCGGAGAAGGCCATGCCCGTGAGGAAGCGGAAGAGGCAGTAGACGGTGAAAGTCGGGGCAAAGGAGGAGCACGTCCCCATGGTGCCCATCTGAAGGTAGCACCAGGTGAGCAGCGACCGGCGGCGGAACCGGGGTGGGTGGGGGGGGGAGGGGGGGGTGTGTGTGTGTGTGTGTGTGAGACAGCCCCCATGATGCTGCCCCACCTGCCCACGGGGACGGGGTGTCCCCCCCTCACCTGTCCGAGAGACCCCCGAAAATGATGCCGCCC